TCCGTAAAAGGAGGCCTGGGCAGCGGAAAAGCTAAATTTAGAAAAGAGATCCTGTCAGCTGTTCCATTATTTATTGCATTCCGCCCAAAATGAGCACACTTTTCGTAAATGAAAGAGTCAACACAAGGAAATGAATAAAAGGGAACTAGTCAACTCACCTGTCATTGAGTAATATTCCGCGAAAGGAGGTCTCAGCAGCGCAGAAACGAAATAAGCCAGGCCAGGAGACGAAATATCCGAAACAGCTCATACAAGAAGCAGTTCCAAAGGAGGAAGTTCCTCGCGCATGCACATCCGAACACGGACTGCACTGCAACACAATGTCTGCCGTGCGCGTGCACAGCACGCGGCTACCACCCGTTGGTAGATAATACCGAGCACCTTACGTAGAGACTTACGTAGCCTAAGTGAAATACCGAGCACCTTACGTAGAAACTTACGTAGCATAGCGGTGTCGTTTTTCTTGCCATGTGAACACAATAATAGAAAAGCTGACAGGATCGCTTTTCTAAATGTAGGTCTTGGGAGGCGTCAGTGACCGATGCCCGTTGGCATTGGCCAAGTGCGTCCGTCCTTAGCGCTTGTTCGGTACGTTCATGTCGCGAATCTGCATGGGCACACTGACTGACCCATGCTATTTTGTATTTGTATTGCTTTGATCATTTTACATCGCAAGTCAAACGGGCAATCATGCTCAGTGCTATGATGACCTTGGAATGCTATGCTGTTGTCTGGAGTTCGCGAGGTGTTTGTCGGAGCGCCGAAGGCCTAGCGGCACTGTAATGCCTGGTCCACACTACGAAAATTTGTAGGCCGATTTCCGTCCGATTTGGTATTGTACGAAAAATCCCCAAGATCGGCGTGAAAATCGCCTGGTATGGATGGTGTTGTTGTTTTTTTGAAATCTTTCATTCTCACGATGGCCTGTGGCCAATAAGAGAGAAAGAATTACAGGCAGGGGGGAGGGGATCGGATAAAGAGAAATCAAAGTTTAGCTGCTTGCTGAAATAGTAGCGATTGTAATAAAGAGTTTATCACATAGGCTGGGCACAATGGGGCTATAGAAGTGCTGAGCAATGTGAGCAGGTACATGTACATATGGAAGAGACGACAAGAGGTTAGGCTCCGGCGGATTATGCTCGTGAAATCATGGAATTGTGCTTTCATGGATTCTCAAATTATGCTCGCAAAATCCTCTTATCATGCTTTGGCACGCGGGGTATTATTCACTTTGTTGTACTTTTGGAGCCTCAAAGTTCGGAAAATTGTGCGTTTTTCGTACTTTCAAGTGGTCATAAGTACAACAAAATACATGAGTATCCCCATAACAAGGTGTCCATACATGCTAGAGATCAACATGGAAAAAAGAAAACATTACTTCTTCTATTCATTAGTTGACTTCTTTTGTAAAAAGACTTTTTCATTGCCAAATTAGTTTGAGTTACCTTTGAAAATATATATGTTCAACTATCTTCCTAATCGTCATGCTCGTCCAACCGATGTCAACCTCACCCTGCGAATAATCTGCTCATCTCTCCCGTAGCTCCACCTCTCCTTCCATCATGATCGAACATCAACAGCAGACTGCTGCTGTTACAATACCTCTTTTTTCTTTTTTTTAAATTATTAGAGCAATATTCATAGCCTGCACAGTCACAGCTGCTAAACTCAAAGAGGTCACGACTTCGTGTCGAAATAATTATTATCATGAATAATGTACATGTACGCAGAGTCAGTTTGCGGACTACCTACTATCTCGTCCACCCCGGGACACCTCATATTCATAAAGGCTCGTTCACTCGCATCTTCTGCTACATGTACTGTATCAGTGTGAGAAAGAACTTTGGAGAGGACGAGTTCGAGCAAACAATAATGTATTGGCAACTATTGCCATGATTTCTACCCTTCTATTCATAGAAAACACTATTTGCATGACCTCTGAACCCTTTACCATCTAGATCACCAGCACTGATCAGGTGCATTGTTCCTTCCTAGGCCTAGGGGCTCCCGTAAGAAGACCATAGCCTAGGTCTGTGGGAAACACCCTAGTAAAATAAAAGTTAATAATAATAATAATAACCATGCTAAATCAATAATTTATATACATTCAATAATGTGTTACGAGAACAAAACAAAGTGCTAAAATAGAATGAGGGAAGGTGAGACAATAGAAGTAAAGTGAGAGCTAAGTGCAACAGGGGTAAGCAAGCAGAAGAAACACGTAGTTGCGTTAAGATTGTTTTCGTAGGTGCACAGCATGATTGTTTGTCTCACTACACAGTTCTAGCGTTGCAATTAGTTCCTCACCCCTGTTGCACTTAGCTCTCACTTTACTTCTATTGTCTCACCTTCCCTCATTCTATTTTAGCACTTTGTTTTGTTCTCGTAACACATTATTGAATGTATATAAATTAATAATAATAATAATTGTACACAATTGTGTAGCCTACATACTAGAACTGTGGTACAATCATGTAGTTATGCTCCTACCTCCGAAAAGATGCCAAATTATGCTCCAAATTTTCAACCACCAAATTATGCCAACAATTATGCCGGCATAACCCGCCGGTGCCTACAAGACTGTCAAGAGGCAGGATGTTTGCTTTGAAATCTCGTCTGGGGTTGACTGGCCGGAGGCTGAGTGGGATGCTATTAGAGGGAAGTTAAGGCAAAAATCAAAATTTCACCAGTTGTAGTCTTCGGGGTGCTGAGTCGAATGGTCGTGGTCCGAGGAAGCTGAGACGCTCCCTTCCTACTTGAATCCCAATCGAACTCGCGTACTTCCACCGAAACTGGGTGACTGCGCCCTACTAGATGGGGATTTGTATGCAAAATGTCACTAAAAGCGCCACTTCGTTCTTATAAAAGCACGGATGACCGCGATTGGCCTATATGTTGTAGTCTTTTGGACGCTGAGTCGACTGGTTTTGGTCCGAAAAGGCTGCGAAGCAGCGTTCCTCCTTTATTCCCAATCGAACATGGTTGAACAAGCGGTCACGGGCTCCTGCGTACACCAGTCACCTGGTCACCGTGTCTGCAGGGTACAACTTACTAGCCTGTTTGGCCTTTTTTGGGTGCAGTCCTGTCACTCGAGTTGAACTCGAGTTGAACCTTGGTGTGAAAGTAGTTGTCGCCTGCTGGCGTGGTGACCAGGTGATTTGGGCACCCAGGAGCACTTGCCCGCTTGTTCAACCATGTTCGATTGGGAATAAAGGAGGAACGCTGCATCGCAGCCTTTTCGGACCAAAAACAGTCGACTCAGCGTCCAAAAGACTACAACATATGGGCCAATCGCGGTCATCCGTGCTTTTATAAGACCGAAATGGCGCTTTTAGTGACATTTTGCATGCAAATCCCCATCTAGTAGGGCGCAGTCACCCAGTTTCGGTGGAAGGGCGCGAGTTCGATTGGGATTCAAGTAGGAAGGGAGCGTCTCAGCTTTCTCGGACCAAGACCATTCGACTCAGCACCCCGAAGACTACAACAGTTACTGGTGAAATTTTGATTTTTGCCTTAAGTTAACTTCCCCTTTAAAGAGATCAAGAGCAGCATAGATGGGGGAGTCTCTTACTCTTAGTAAGCCGGTTTTGCGTGTTGTGGGTAGCTCAAAAGTTCGGGGGAACCTGAGCGTGCGAATGGGTTGTATTCTGGGTAGGGGAATTGCAAGAGGGTGTGGTGGTGCATATCCATGGTGCAGGCTATGTGCAAGAAGAATATGGAAGAGGGTAGATCTATAGCTGGATGGATCGGTTTTGCTGCCCTTCCTGTGGATGGGGGTCACTGTCACTAGTCTGTTGCGTCCCTCCACTCTTGCGGGATAGTGCAACATTCGAAGGAGACGTTAAAATGGGTTGCTAGGGACGGCGCAAGTGAACTGGCTGCCTCTTTCAGTAGGCGGGTTGGTATGCCATCACAACCCGGGCTCTTTGACGGGTCGAGGACTCGAGGTTAGACAGTAGCTTTGAAACCTCTGGGGCTGATGTTTCATGAGACCAGGTAGGGATATGGAAATGAATGGAGGGGAGTTCCTCGGGGCACCCTGTGACTGACTGTTGGCTGCGAGATGAAGAAAGCGTTCAGGGCGGTTGCGTTTTCAGCAAGGGTTGAGAAAGTCTGGCCCTGGGAGAGCATGTCTGGCAGAGTAGGTCGTTGTGAGGACTGGAGGCCGCGCATCAGTGTGTGTAGGTTTGGTGTAGAGTGGCTCGTAACAGTGCCATTACTTACATAAATTATGTAGACTTTAATAATAGGCCGTCGTCACACTACGTTCTCCGACTCCCGTTTACGTCTACGTCTATGGTGAAAAAACCAAAACGGGTGGTCGTGTCGACGTGTCATCACGACATCAGACAGGCACAGTTCTTGACGCGTACACCAGGTAGGTACACGCAGTCAGGTTTTGGAGAAATTTGAACGCACGGCACGTTCTCGGCAGACAAGACAAGTATAATGTCCAATTACAATACCATATCCAAGAAATTTCAGCAAAGAGTAAATCTATTGTGCTATATGGGTCGCTATCTATACCTTACCCCAACATTGCCTTGCTCTACAAATCATGACTGTGTAGATCTACGCCCCACAATGGAATATGCCACCCCAGTCTGGAGCCTCGCCCTAACTACTGCACAGCTAGCTATGTTCGATGTCCTGCAGGCTAAGGTGTGTAGACGGTTACTAAGATCAGCCAAGATAGAATTTAGAATTTAGATCTATGCGCGGTAGATCTCCGGCCGGGTAATACAACGTGACGTTCTGTCGGGTTTGCAGGCGAGCGAGTGGGAGCGCGATAAAAACTAATCATGTGGCTTTTAATACTACCTGTAGCTGTATAACATGTTTTTCGATTTTGAGAGCATGTTACAAGGCGAGGACGCATTATAACATGCTGTCAAAATCGAAAAACATGTTAAACTACCAAGCAAGGCTTCTGTATAATACTGGAGCTGTATAGCGCTCCAATGGGTACTAAAATGATTGCACCATCTTCCAATCCCACGGAATCCACCCACGGATCCCAGCCGTGACCTTGCGTATGAAAAGTCGATGGACCCGACAAAAGCGGCATTAGACTTGCTGGTTATGTACGAAGTTTCCGATTTAGCGTCTCCTCCCGCTGATCAGACTCTCTTTTAGATTCTTGTAAATCATGTGACCGGGATGTCACAAGCGGCCTTGCCAATAATTATATGGGTTGTCTGCGATGGTGGATATGAAGTCTTTTGAAGATGAAGAGGCTCTGGTTTTGCCGAGCGATAATCGGACGACAGTCCAGTCGGCTAAAGACAATAGTAAAGTGCGAAAATCACTTCGTCGGATCGATGAATGAAAGCTGTGTGGGCCGAGTTCCTGATAATTCGAGACAGGGAAGGGAAGGGAAGTGAAAGAGAGAGAGACTGCCAGTACTGGTTTATTCCGGCCCTAGCACCCGCTGACTTGCTGTACGAGAATGCGAAACTCTTTTGGTGATGGTTGACTCTCTTGGTTATGGTTCCTCCGCCAACGTTCCTACTGGATCGCCTGCTGGGAGGACTACCTGTCTTGACTGCCTATTGGTAGAAGAGGTGAGGGAATCTCTTGTGAACAACGGTTGTATCCAGCCTGACGCAGAAGGGGGGGGGGGGGGGGGGGGGGCGGACTCACTCTGTATATGCACGTAGTAAAAAAAAGAAGTAAAAAAAAGGTGAACAGGGGTTGAACACGTAAGACTATGCATCTTTCCGCTCATGGAGGTCCAAGACTATGGGGGTGTGAGTGACCTACCCAGTCCATTGCTTTTTTTCAATTAGGACCTTCCAGAGACAATGGCCTATAGGGAATCTCCTAACCAATGTTCAACTTCAAAGTAGGCCCTGTGTCAAATGTTACATCATTCACTTGTTTGTGGAGCGAGTGCTTCGCTAGGCAGGCCCGGGGCCAGCTGCTGAGGGGTTGTACAACTCCAGGTCGGCTTCAGGGCTGATAATTTCCCCACGTCCAATTTTCAGTATCACGGGAGGACACACCTCTAGCTCGGTGCATCATATCTGGTTGTTTTACTTACACGTTCTGCTGGCAGCAGATTCGCTCGTACAGCAAACACTCCTCACTGAGCCAGAGTAGCAGCATATCAGGGACTGACTGGAGTGAGGAGTGCACAATGATAGCCTATTAGCACTTGCATGAGGATACCCTACTACCGTATTTCCCCGTAAGTTAGTACGCACTAACTTTCGAACTTAGCAGCCACATGAGTACTAACTTTCGGGGTGGTACTATCTTTCGGGGAGTACTTTTTTATCGGGGGTAAATGACACGCAGTGGGAAGCCTGCGCAACTCTAGTGTCCGTGCATATGATGTATGTGCTGTACGGTGTCTGTACATGTAGGACGGGTACGAACTTACTATCTTTCGGGGGGAACTGTCTTTCGGGGTGATAACCTCGGCAGTGGAAAGTGTCTGTTTTTATAGGGGGGTACTAAGTCATTGGGGAGAACTAACTTACGGGGAAATACGGTAGTACTCCTGCATCGGTAATTGCACACTGGATACTCCCTGGGCACCGGAATCAGTAAAGACCGGTACGGCCATGGCTGCACCCTCCAGCGTACCAGTGGCACCGTGCCAGTCCTGCATGCTACCACTCACGTGTGCATCTTCTTGTTTGTGTTGCCACAGGAGAGGACCTTCTTCAACTGCTCACTATCATGCGCAGGCACAAACTTACTGGGGTCGCGAAAACTGTCGAGCATCGTGGCTAGCCATCGTGTCCTGATTGCGGTGCAGTTTGTAGTGTACATGTATGGTGGCCTGATTGCCGTGGTGAACTGGAAGAAACTGAAAGCCTCTTTGCCCTGGCGCGCCGTGCTCTACACTAACACGACCTCACTCGTGCTGCTCCTGCTTTCGTTGGCTAGCGCCTTCACTCCTCACACTAGTTGCTTGTGCGGCTACGATGGCAATGTGCTCCTGCAGGACATGCCGATTAACGATGCGCCGGTGCTGTGTGCTGCGTCAGCTATCGTCGGGGACATTGCGTACTTAATGTATCCTTTCCTGATCATGTGGCAGTCATTCGCCTGGTATATGTACGCCAAGATGATAGCAACGATAAAGAGTACACACAACGAGTGGATACACTGGATGCAGGCGTGTGAAATGGTCGTGTTCCTGTTCGCAATCGTCGCCACGTTTACATTTATCGTGTACTGCACCGTGCGGCAATCTCATCGTTATGTTCGCCAGCAAGCGTACGGCCTGCCGTGCACGATGACGAATGGCGAGCGTGTCCTTATTCCCTCGCTTGTTCCAGTGCTCATGGGTGTCATCAGCGTTGCCTTTCTCCTGCTCTCCATGCATCACCTTGCGGACACGGCCGTCTCCAAGCTGACGATTGGTCACGTTGCCGTAGTGGGCTTGCAGTGGGTGCCGCCTGGCCGTGCCAAGCAGCCGCGCGGACACGGGCGTAATGCCAATTTTGCCATGATGACATGGCAGTTCGGCGTCTGGTGCAGTCTCGTCCTCGTTCTGCTCAGCTGCATTATGCAGTTAGTGCACACGTACTCGTCGCAGTGCATACGCAACGCCATCAATTGTCCACTGGTCAAGAATCTAATGGAGGAGCTCGCCCAGTTCACCTGCTGCACGGACTCGTCTCAATGCTCCCCTCAGTTTAGTTCCGCCGATGCAATTCACAGTCAATTGGCGATTGGATCCATTACAGAGTCTGTAAGTATAATGCTTTGGGAGCTTTAGGAGCTATGAGCTGCATCTGTGCCATGATCTTTGAGGGTGGTGCCGTTTCTGCGAATGCGGGAAACTCAGCCTGACTGAGTTACAAGTGAGCCGTGAAATTTATTTTGTTGAAGTACATCCCTCTCTTCTAAGAGTTAGTTATTGCTGTTTTGATTGTGTTCACACATCTTATGACATTGTGATCGTCAACTTGCAGGGAATAATTTAACCGGTATCGCATCGCAGTTTGCTATGCAATTCTTCTGAGGTGCGAACCAACTTCAGAAATGTGTTGCATAAAACTGCGATGTATGTAGATTTTTCACTGCACCCTATGATGCACAGTGTACATGCCAGGCGTGTCCTTAGGGATGAAATAGATGCACAAAGCTGCGAAAGTGCTGAGCTATGCATCCTGGCACCAGGTTAGGTTTGCAACTAAGGTGTTAGAGTGTACTTGTGGTCTGAGATTGCACTCTGGTCAGCTCTGCAGAAAGACAATGTTGTCAAAATTTAATGTTTAAGAAAATTGCTATGCACCCTTTTGGTATTGCTATTCAAGTTTGATTCTGCGTAGCAAAATTGCTATGCAAAAAATCGAAAGTAAATTATTCCCTGACTTGTATATCAGACTAAGGAAAAACTGACAACTGAATGTCTGAGATCACTGGAACAGTTTTCTCTCTTTTCTCTTTGCTGAACGTTTCCTTTGGTGCGGCAGATATGCAGTCTACTGGCAAGTGGTCTCCTGTACTGGGCCTTCTCCGGTGATGTTGTACGACCTCTTCGGCATTTCTTGTTCAATTCATGCCCGGGTTTAACGACGGTCAGTGCTCTTGGCCGTGTGATGTGACCAGCTGCTTCACATGCGCACATGTGTGTGTGTGTGTGTGTGTGTGTGTGTGTGTGTGTGTGTGTGTGTGTGTGTGTGTGTGTTGAATGTTTGACAGCATGTCGGAGAACGCACCGTGTTGCAGACAGTGATCCTGACAACAACCGTCATCGGTTGGCAGCTTACTTCCTTTGAAGTACATATACCATAATTATGTGTGTGTGTGTGTGTGTATAGTGTGTGTGTGTGTGTACGTGTTTGTACGGGTCCCATATGGTGCAGTGGCATGTGCAGTTGATTTCCAATCGAGAGGTTGCTGATTCAATTCCCGACGATTATGGTCGCACACGTCTTTCTTCTCTTTCTCATTCTCCTAGCTTTCATTCTCCTGGGTGGTTGCCAACAGCCAGTATATGCCAGAGTATGTGGTGTGGCGTGTGTGTGTAAAAAAGAATGGAAAATGAAAAAAAAATGAAAAATAGGGATTCACTGGCCAGAAAAAGCCACTTCAATCAGCTGTTTAGCTAAAATTAGTGGCGGTCAAGTCATCAGCCTTGCAAGCTGTTGAATGGTGTAATCCTAGCACAAGTTACTATGTCTAACATAGCTCTTTGCTATCATCGCTTCCGCGGTGGGCATGTCTGAGTCTGAGTGTACGCGTGTGTACACATTATATTTATGTACATGTGTGTACATTTGAGTGTGTGCACGTGTGTGTGTGTGTGTGCATTTCTGGAGGTCGGTGTGTCTGTGTGTCCAGGGTATTCATTAGGCTGCATAGATGCGTTTATGCTGTTTAAGAATTGTCGCCAATGAAATGCCATTCTCGACACTACCTGGTGGTGTCATCCTTTAACATTGTACAGCACGTAAATAATTTACAATTCAGGGAAGAGTATCAGAGTGATCGATTGGTCAAAATAGATACTCGTTTCACCCCTAGGTATCACTAATTTATACGTAACGTCTGGTGGGAGGGGAGAGGAGGAAGTCTAGGTTCTGTGCAGATATGGTCAGGGCCTTTGGAGGCTGTAGGCGAGTGGTATGGCCGAGGCCCGGGGTGTCCCCCGGCGGGGGTGAAGGGGGCAGAGCCCCTTGCGAGGGTGGGTGGAAACCCCGTGTTATGGGATTCCATGCAATAGAAAACACCCCTGATGCATATCTTGAACATTGCACAGCAAGTCCAGCAAAAAATCTCCAACTTTCGAAACTTTTTTATTGCTTTTCTGAGCGTTTCACGGTGACCACCGGTCGCCATAAGTGGTACTACCATGGTCGTACCAGTCGTATCGACTCCAACGGGCCTGATGGTGAATATGAAGGCCCGTCAGAGAGAAAGAAAAGGTGGAGTGGTTGATAATGCGCGCAGCTCCGACCGCACAGCATTCCCAGAATAGAGCAAACTGGGATCTAAAATGCTGGATTTGCAGTGACAGAGGTGTTTTGTTTGGAGGTCAGTTTCACATGTTTCCTAACAGTAGCTAATACAGTACAGGGAAATTTGAATTTTCCCAGGTATTTCTCCTGCAGGTGGAATACTTTCACTCCAACTGGGAATTGAAATCACAATCTCATGTTTTGAAAGCCAATTTCCAAACGACTTTGCCAACTGCGCACGTTTTGTGTCAGACACCAGCACACTCGGACATCTCTTGTCCAGGCACCTTGGGACCGGGCGCTGCCCGTATCTCAAGATAACTCATCTACCATGTATCATATCGAGGAGTTGTGGCTGGGTGACTCCAATCTTGCTGGTCACCAAGCTCACCAACATCCCACATTCTCCCTCCCCCCCCCCCCCCGTTAGGGTCACAAATTCGGAGTACAGTTCTAGCACAAAGCTTGCATGCGCTTGATGCCTACATTGTATGTGCAAGAACCCATGATATGCCTGATCGCTTGTTTATCAACTCCTTTTTTTATATCTTTTTTCCTTTATGCATTGCAGCTCAGCAGACAGGGCAGTACATTGGCGGTGCTGCAGGACGCGCGGTTAACAGACGCTGCTGGCTGCGAGACGTTCGTTACTAATCCCTGTCCCGGACCCGCCATATTGAATCAGCCTTCATCGGAGCCATCTGGTGTGCCAGGTGGGTGGCATATGGTGCCTAGTGGACCCATTGCGCAATGACGCAATTTCTGCCATAAACACCCTTCACAGCCACCTGGGCATGGTCGTCTGGGGGTGTTGAACAGTGCATTGCTGATCCCAGCGTACTCACAAGCATTACTCATGCATTCCATACTTGGCAATGCGCAATGGGTCAATTGATGTCACCCATACTTGCACTTGACGGCGCATGCCAACGGAAGTTCTGGTCACAGACAAGCAAAGCGTCCCCATCACTATGCACTTTTCTTGCACTATTTTGTGGACCATCAGGCAGGTACAGTGGGTTGGTCAAAGACCATGATCGCGAAGCAAGCGGGACCTGACTCAAGTCCTACTGTGCTGCTACTCGTAGTCACTGGGAACGTGTGGCCAGGCACAAAAAAGTGCATGGGCGCAGCGCATGGGCCCTTCGGCACCTGTACCATTGGTTGTGTGACCTATCCTCTTACCCCACTGTAAGGCGCTGCATAAGAGAAGGGGGGGGGGGGGAGGGGGGAGGGGGCTCAGAACAAAGGAACAGTGGAAGAAGAAAGTTTTGCGCGAGGTTGATAATAATCTATTATTTGTACATGTATATGCCTGAATGATGACTAGGAAAGAGAGGAAATAATCCGCTTCATTTTCTTTGCTTTTTATCTGCGTGTTGCAGCTAATTCATCTCCATTTGGCGGCAGTTTAGCACGTCGATCGCAAAATCCGGAAATTGCAATCCCGCTGAGAAATCTTGCGGTGGTCCAAAGGCCTCGTGCCTTAGAAGCACCTGTGGAGGCCGAGGTGGCATTGCAGGCTGCGTCACAGTCACTTGGAAGCTACTGCGAAGTACCACCACCGCGATGTCCTGATAGTGGTGAGATGAAGTGCAATTAAATTTGTTAATTTTCCAGCAGGGATAAACATCGATTGTTGCACGTGTGTGTGTGTGTGTGTGTGTGTGTGTGTGTGTGTGTGTGTGTGTGTGTGTGTATGTGTGCATGTGTGTGTGTATGTGTGTGTGTGGGGGGGGGGGGTGCGTGTGTGTGTGTTGTTGTGTGTGTGGGCGTGTGCATGCGTGAAAGACGACAAACATTTGGAGCACGGAGCAGGATGCTACTGGCATCTGCTCAATGTGTTCAGCAAGCCCGTTACGATCTGCAAATAACACAGTACACGTAGTTACACTGTGCACCTGAACAGCAATGTCACTATTATCTTCTCCTGATCATGAAGCAATTGTGGTTTCGGGGACTTTAGGCCCTGGGCCACTCTTTCCCTGGTTCGTGTTCACTTGCATAATACCTTCACCTTTGCGGGTTGCGTTTGCGGTCTTCAGCCCCCCCCCCCCCCCCCCCCGATAGTCATCACACGCTGCATGGACTATGCCGAGCATGTAGAACTTCTGGATTGAAGTACAGTCAAACCTCATTAGGACGAACACTGATAAGGCGAACTTCCCTTTAGTACGAACTAGGGCCAATCCTATGGTTGGCCAGGCATCATATCAAGTCAATATTATTCGTTTACGACGAACTCCTGTACGGGAAACTTTCGTGAAGAAGAACTTATTTCAAGCGTGATTTGAACAAAATCAGGGTGTAATACGAGCTTTCGACCCCGTGGGTGCGCTTGCTGTATTAGCTGCATTTTGACATACATATCATATATGGGATCCATATATGGTCGCGCGGTGCAACCCTCTAACTAAAGACCACCTGCCACTAAAGATCGCTTTTGCTGGCACCAAGGGATGGTCGTTAGTTACAGGTTTTACTGTATATGTCTGTTACTGTATCACTCCACTGAGCCCAGTCTGCCAGCTGTACTGCGGCGACTTGTTGTCGTTTTTGATATAAGTGACAGTTTAGTAGTGCTATTCCAGTTCTGTGTGCAACATGGCTCAGTGCACATAGAAATGGAGTTTTGTTTTTTTCCTCTTTTTCCGTCCGCCCATGTGCCTGTTCCCATGAGAAGTCCGACGCAAAACATCATCTGAGAATTACCTTGGTGTGGCCTTATAGCAGAAGTGAACAGTGATCATTGTTGTAACGCTGCGTTTCATGGACATAACAAGGCTCAGGAAATTCTCAGACAACTCGTTTTATACACTGTTTTTGCATGGTGTCCCAAGACGCTACACTTTAATACTCAGTGTTGGCATAACATATTATTTTCGGTGTAATTTTAATTTCGGCAATTTCGGTAGAGAATTCAGGCTCCTAAATTTAGATTACACCTAAAAGGCACTAGAGTATGCATTGTATGTGAAGGGTAGGCTAGTCACCTAATTCCACATTACACCTGAAACCTGGCACCGAGATTTAAATACACCTAAAATTACGTAATTATTATACAGTATTCCGATGCAGTGAATGGGATTTTCGGTCTTTGACCACATGCTGGTGAGCTGATCTACTCACCTCCCACCGCTTTAGGAGCTGCATCTGCGCCTTGATCCTTGAAGGGTGGTGGCGTTCCTACGGATGCGGAAAACTCGGCCTCTATATAGAGAAACCGAGTCTCACGCGAACCGTGAATTTTTTTATATTTATAATTGTGCAGCCTCCATATTCACTGTGTAGTCAGGAATGAGTCGTTTCTACATTCTATTGCTATGCTCCTTCTTTCAGGTTCTATCTCAGATGCACCATGTGTCAGCGTCGTTACTGTTGTTATAGACCATGCTGACAATTCCAATGAAAAGTCGACTGCTGCGTGATGGTGATGGTCAATAAAACTGGATCCCTGCTTACTCCGAAATGGAGTAATTTATTGTTGTGGTTGTTCAGCTCTTTCTATTGCTATCCAGCCGTTGCAAACTTGTACATTGTACACGTTTCATTGTACCGGAAATCTCTCCATTACTCATCGGAAATTGTAGTTTCCTCGGTGCTGCTGGTTAAGGACCAAGGTATATTTCATTCCATTATCGCCTTCTGTTTTGATGACTTTAACGCCGAAGCATCTTCGCATAATTTTAACCAATGGCGACATGATCTCATATATTTTTACTGAGTATCTCCAACCGTTATCGGCGCACTCGGCACTGAATTCTCTCGCAAAGTTTTCTTGCAGTTGCGATTATCACCATAACTCTCATCATCACTTCTTGAATACAAAACAGACGTGCATGCAGCTAACACATACCTTCTCAGCATGGCAAAATACTCACATTTTCACATCATCACTATTATTCTTATTATTGTTATTATTATTATTGTCACTATCTGCACCGTGCTTTACCGCTTGCACGTACAATCCTTTCTTGAAACAAAATGTATTTGTAAGCGCATTGTATCCTGGCACTGCCGCAGTATCATGCAACGGCACTTCTATTCATCCTACCATCATTTCCTATCAACTTTTCGTCTACCTGGACTGACCAGAGCAAGCTTTTCCCCATAGACCTTGTTATTCATGGAGCTCCCCAGCGGCAAGGTGAAAGCTCGGGCGAGACATGGCCAACTGGCCGCTGGATGACAATGTGCGAAACCAAAAGCATTGTGATACTGGTAGTCTACTAGCACATCATGGTACATATTATTATAACCCAATACTAGTTCAAAATTAGTATTAGATAAACCTCTTCTTTCCTTCATTCTTTCTTCTTTTTTTTCTTCTCTTGCCATGGCTGGCTAACGCCCCCTCCTTTACATTGGCTTCTGCCATTGGACGGTGAAATAATAATAATAATAAACCGCGGAAGATTGTAGTAAGGACTTTGGTCACTGTTTCCGAACACAGTGTCCTCCACCTTGTTTCATGCTGTCAATCTAACCAACACATCATGGTACATGCACACATGTAGATCTACATTATTGTACTACATGTAGTTGAAGCTACTACTGTACTAGTCAGTAGTCGGACTGTTGAACATGCATGTACAGTAATTATAACCTGCCCTAGTCGTCGGACACTCTTGGCGCAGAGTTTTGTGGGCTAACCGTCACTATCTTGTCCGGCCCGGGATACCTGACAAAGGCTGATTCATTCACATCTTCTGCTACATCAGTACATGTACTGTATCAGTGTGAGGAAGAACTTTGAAGAAGACGCGTTCAAGCATACAAGAATGTATTGACTATTGGCATGATTTCTACCCTGCTTTTTATTGAAAACACTATTTGCATGACCCCTGAACCCTTTACCATGCAGATCACCAGCACCAAGAGTACATAACCCAAGAGTACATAACCCGGGTTATGTACTCTTGCCAGCACTGATCAGGTGCATTGTACACGATTGTGTAGCCTACATACATGTACTAGAACTGTGGTACAATCATCAACTTACCGGTATGCTCCTACTACTTGTAAGTTGTAGTACCTCCGAAAGGATACCAAAATATGGTTCACATTTTCAACCACCAAATTATGCCAATCGGGGCATAATCCGCCAGTGCCCACCACTTTGGCTTATGCCATTCAGGATTGAAGTCTGAAGTGTAATACAATACAATGAAATGACAGAAATGACAGTAACAAAAGCCATTAGCAACAATACCAATACTGGCAATAGGACGAAATAGTGGTTGCGACTTCGGCGATGATTTTTTAGGAATGAGCTTGCTCCCACACTGGAGCTTGCGCTATTCCGCCGACTTGACTTGACACTTGACTGACTGACGACTGCCATCCAGAGCACACGAGAAGTCCATCGAACCTTCGACTCGGCAAACCTGTTGTGCCCAGCGCCGGCTTGCGACTAGCTGGTTTGGAGGTGACAGCGTTGTGAATGACCGAGGGTCCTCTACGTCTGTTCTCACCATCCAGGAGCGACACTGACTCACGCTGCTATCTGGCGTTCACGAGGTGTTTGTCGCGCTGGAAACGGAGCGTCTCTGCAAGTTTGTATCCCTGGTGATTCTTATGCCTGGAGAGCACTATTTGAGCCAGCGCACGCGAAAAGGGCCCTTATGGGATGCACGTGCGAACTGAGAAAATCGCGTTTGAAGTGCAGTGGGTCAAATTTACCGTAGGATTTTGACAGGCCAACGTGATCGATTCTGCACTATTTCCACGGTTTGACTGATGAAATAGGTGTTATTCCAAAATGATCTAGGGGTTTCCAGCTTTCATTTGCAAGTTACCGCGATGAAATTGAGCTACGGAAGCCAAAGTTTCAGCGATTTTGATTTCGTGGGTTCGCACGCGCGCGCGTGGGCAGCTAGCTGCTGGCACGGCAAAGACTACATCATACATGTACTTCTTTCTTGTTGCGCTTCACTTGCCGTTCCCTTCTCTAGCTTTTCTTGCACTAGCTGGATCAGTGGATGCTCGAGTTGAACATGAGCCGGAGAACCTGCTTCACTGTTGATGCTGCGCTGGATCTTCTTCTCAGAGAAGATGAAGCTGAGTTTTATGGCGATGACGAGTGTGCGAGTGATGGCGCAGGGAGCGAAAGTGAAGATAGTTCTGACAGCAGCGATGACGAACGAGAACATTTCCTTGCTGCGACAATCGACACAGCTAGTGCAGCAATGGACTTCATGTCTTTGGACAGCTCGCACGCCGCTCCACAGGCAACTTCTAGTAGCAGTAGCCCCTCTGAAGCCATGCAGACTGGTGAAGCGGCTGAACACAATCGCAATTATTCGTGTGGATGCAGCCTGAATTGTTTTAGGAAGTTTGACGAGGCAGATGTTGAAGTGAATGTGCTGAACATGAAGGAGCTCGAGCGACCTGAGAGTGACCTGATTATACTGGGACTGCTCGAGTCAGGTCGACACGAAACTGCTTTGTCCCACAAGCCAGGAGAGAAAAGACAGCGACAGCGCTTTCGCTATTCGTTCCAGGGAGTGGAAATTTGTGTTGCTGCATTCAGGACTTTGTACGACATCAGTGAGAAGCGGCTAAAGAACTTGAGAAAGCACCTCCATGAGCATGGTGTCACAGCAAGAGTACATGGTAACCGTGGGCGAAGGCCGCCCAATGCACTGGAATTTGCTGATGTCAAGAATTGCCTTGACTTCATCAAGCGACACGCTGATGTCTATGGTATCCCACACCCAGCCCCTCTCCGCGGCCGTGATGATGTACCTCCTGTTTTCTTGCCAGCTCACCAGACATACAAAGAAGTCCATGCAGAATTTGTGGCACTGTGTAAGTCAGAGGGATGGAGAGCTATAGCGGAGTCTACTTTCCGCAGCATTTGGCATCAGTGTCTACCACACATCCGCTTCATGACGCCGCGAAGGGATGTTTGTGCAGTTTGTGAGGACCTCCGGCGCAAAGTTGTTTCTGCTGCGGGTGAAGCCGATAAAGTGACTGCCTGTCGCAATTTGGAAGAGCACATAACGGTGACAGTGATGCTGTGGCTGTACCTATCTTGAAAGTGACTGCTGATGAGGTAAAGGCTGCTGGTATTCCCGCAACTCTGCCTGCTGGTGGCTTGTCGCAAGCACGCCAGGAGTATTTGCACAAGGAGATACAGCCGTTTGTTGCTGTGGAGCATCAAGACACTCTCTGCCCTGCCCCCGCTGCTTCTAGTCAGCTCTCGCCTTGAAACTGAGAAGAGAGTGCATATGAACCCGGTCACCTGGTGCTTGGGGAACAATGTTTGTTGCTGTTACTGTAACTTCCGTTGCAACTATTTGCCACAAGCCACATTCTGGGTCCGCTTCTTGCGTAGTACTCCATGGTGGATGACTCCCTAGTTACTGTGTACATAACAAAGATTTCAACAGGTTGTTTTTCAATTTTGTCTTTTGACTGTAACTGTGTACAAATGCTGTACTTTGGCTGAGATATTCTCCATGGCTATTGCAACCAGTCTACTCTGGCTGAATGTCTAGGAGTTTCTTACCCCCCTTATCTACATGTCCGCATTTTCCGTAAAAAACGAGCCCACGGCAGGAGCCGTAACTTTGATTAGAGTTGGCCAAATTGAGTCAAATTTTTTTTATTCGATTTCTACAATCACTGGCTACCTGAAAATGCCATCAGCTGAATTTTGTTGAAAATCACCATAAGGGCCCTTTTCGCGTGCTCTGGCTCATTTATAAGTGGTGCTCTTCAGGCACAACCTTCCTCAGCCTACTCAAGCTCAACTGATGAGGGGTGAATTCCCCGAAACACTGTGTATCGAGCAGGGAGTGGTGCTTTCTTGCAGGTTAGGACTTGTGGAAAAGTTGACCGAAAGTTAAAAGTCCATGCCATGATGACAATTCCGTCTGCAAGACTGTTACCAAAGTTGTCCGAGGTCAACCCCTGAAGCGTTCAGTGACACTGTGCCCTCATCGTTGGCCAACTGTTGCCTGTTCCCAATCACTAGCGAAGACTTTAAAAAAGCCTTTGCTAGTGATTGGGAACAGTCAACAGCTGGAACTGACTGAATCAGCGTGGCCTAAATATGGTGGTGGTCCGGCTTTGTTGAGAGGTGTCTGCTATTATTATACTAGTTAGTAGTAGATGGAGGTTCCACTGGGAGTTCATGATTCGCGTCGCGTACTGACTCAGTGCATGTGCTGCATGTGCTGCATGATGACTGCCATAATCATGATATTGATGACATTGTACTGATGCAGGTCGTAGTCCCTATGGCCTAGTCCCTAGACGGTCTCTCAGGTAGTACGGCCAACGATGCATGCAAGCTTCTTTTTTAATTATTTGGGCATGCAACAGGAGCATACTATTACTATCCCACGAATACTGTATCTTATCTTGTGCTCAAGCCTTTGTCATGTACATGTATTGTACTAAAATCATGTATGTACTTGTAACGTTACATGTGCATGCACCACTGTATTATGATATCGGTGTCGAAGTGACGTCATGAAACTAATAGTTCTATCTTCGCAACTAAAAGTCTAAGGCCACACGTTTTTATTTCTATGTTTCTCGTCACCCGGTACCCGCGCGCATACGATTCAGGAGTCTGGAAGAAAAAAAGAAAACAAACTCTGCTGCACTGACTGTGCATGTGGGGACCAGCACACTCATGCACATGTACATATTGTGGCCTGGCCTGTGCGACACATGATAATGATGCGAGGTCGGCATTTGTTGTGCGCAATCTAGCTGCACATGCACAGATTGTGACAGAAGCTCCTATCACATACTAGTTGCTAACTATGGATGCTATTTTTCATTGTGTATTGGTGGATTTTAGTGTGAACAAAGGTCTAATAAACTTTTTTTATCACATGGCACGTGATTGTTGCCCGTACTCCAGCGAATCAGCACCTTTCGCGCCGCGGGCAATAATATGCGATATTGCCCGCAAAAAAATAGTTTATTTGCCCGCAAAAAAATAGTTTATTTCAGTGATCGCGTGACTAGACTGTACTACGAGTCTACGACGACTCTGTACGACTCTACGACGAGTCGCAGTGTAGCATTGAGACGAAGATGGAATTGTTTTTGGAGATGGACGTCCCGGCAATGGACATGGCCTCGGACGTCTGCCGTGTGGTGCTTGCAGGGATCATTTGTTCAATCATTTTGGCAGCCTGACCGTCGGTAAGCTTGTGGATAAGATTCAGTTCTGCTCGATGTGCACATGTGGTACTGTGATCACAAACAATTATTTGAAATAACACAAATAAATTCAACTCCGCATCGTGCGTTTTCAGATCCTCGCAAAGTCACTGCCTGTGTGTGGTCTTCATGTGCCACGCATAACTCTTACCAGGGTCACCTGTCCTCTGCCTTCACCTTTGCTTGAACAACAAACACAACAATTCAGGAATGTTTTGCAATGAAAAATACAGCTATCTGGAGCTGATAAAAAGAAGAAAAATTGTCCTCAGAATTACACACCAGGGAGTCGTCAAATACTTGCAGTACTGTATTTGACAACTTCCTGATACACATGTAAACATGAAGAAACTCTTGAGTGGTAGCACTCTTTATTTTTCAACTGAAATTATGATTCTGCTGTGTTTTATTGTGGTTGCCATGTCTATTGCCATGACGATGCTGTGCCGGCACTTTTTTTCTGTCTCCGTCTTTCAGTACTGTATACTCTCTGATGGCCTGTAGAAGACTTTTTGTTAGGGTGTAGGAGAAATATCTTCATTTTTCCTGTTTTGATAATGATAGCACATCAATATACATTGTGGTCATAATGTGTTGGCATTTGGGATAGTTTCAACAGCAGCCCAATGGTCTGCTCTGTGGGCCATGTGATAAATTTGTTATCACATGGTTGCTGCGGGCCTTATGGCATATTATTGCCCCTCGAGGTTAGCCCTCGGGCCTACGGCCCTCGGGCTAACCTCTCGGGGCAATAATATGCCATAAGGCCCTCGCAACCATGCGATAACATAATTCTTCGGTCATTTTTTATTTTTTTCCACCTCTCGCATACGTTTTTAGATTTTCAGGTGACGAGAAACATAGAAATAAAAACGTGTGGCCTAAACTAGGCCACACTGAAGAAGGTCTGTGGTTCGACTCACCCGACCGACCGTACATTTTTCAGCCCGACCGTAACTTTTTTCGGCGGGCTGTCGTGTGACTGACGTACGTGGGCTGAACACGTCCACGTCTACGTGTTGTGCAGCGTGAGTCTGCGGACGCAGGCGGCTCCTTTTGGACTTGAGTCTTGACTTGTAGTTGTACTGCAGTGCAGTGCAGTGAGTGGTACGACTGCTGCCTTGTGCTGGTAGTAGAGTCTACTCGATACGACCACCGGCAGACTGGCGAGACTTATTTTGAAGTGACCGTCCGGTTGAGAGTGATTGCCTCGTTCCAGATTAAGGACGGCCTTCTGTTTTGGGATGAAGGACAGACGAGATTGCACTTTCCTCGTGTACACTTATTGATATACGGGTTTTTAATCCTCACTCACGCTCAAATCGATCTGCACCACATACTATTGTGTATCAGCGACATGAAAAAGAAAAGAGAAGGCACTATGAGGAGCGGGTGAGGCAGGTTGAGCAAGCCTCCTTTGTTCTGGCGGTCATGTCAGCCAGTGGCGGAATGGGTCCAGCATCAACAGCACTGTACAAACGAATTGCTCATCTGTTGGCGGAGAAGAGGGGTGAGCATTACTCTCATGTTATGGCATTTGTTAGATGCAGGATTTCCTTCAGCCTTCTGAAATCCTGTATCATGTGCATTCGCGGTTGTAGGCGTTTAAATTTTGGTTTAAAATTTGCACCCTCCTGCGGAGCCCACGCTGCTTTGGCAGTGGCGGAGGCTCGCCTGCCGACGTAACCGTCGGAGATCATCATGAACAATGGACTGACTAATTATTCACTTGTCCTGTCTTTATAAATAACATGTTAGGCCAAACTAAAGAAGGTGTGTGGTTCGACTCACCCGACCGACCGTACAATTTCAGCCCGACCGTAACTTTTTTTCGGCGGGCTATCGTGTGACTGACGTACGTGGACTGAACACGTCCACGTCTACGTGCTGTGCGGCGTGAGTCTGCGGACGCAGCCGGCTCCTTTTGGACTTGACTTGTAGTTGTACTGCAGTGCAGTGCAGTGAGTGGTACGACTGCTGCCTTGTGCTGGTAGTAGAGTCTACTCGATACGCGTATACAGTGTATTTACATGTACTAAAAATATATATTAAAAAAAAAAAATCCGCCCGCCCGCCCGTAAAAAAAATGTCCATGTTAGTCGAACCACACACCTTCTTTAGTTTGGCCTTATTGCATATGTTCTTGGTTTAGTTTTTGGCCTTTTTCGTGCTTTGGAGTTGATAACATTTTCCTCACTTTCCTCGTGTATTGGGAACGATATTTCACCTGTACCGGTAAGTTGCTGCTCCATGTGTGCAAGCACAGGAAGCGTCGATGGAAAAAGCCCATGTATTCGTGCACGCCGACACCAAACTAGCAATACATGTACCGGTACATTGTACAATTATATTTTGTACTTCGAAGTAGTTCCCGAACTTACTTTCAACTCGCATCGTTCTTCATTTGCTTGATGATTTGGACAGTCAGAGTCACCGCTTGAAGTTATTCTCTTCTCGTAACAAAAGCTACACAATGTTTCAAAGTATTAGCCAGTGATCCCTTTATACAACATGTATGGCATAACACTGCGTAATAATGCCGATGTACTGGGTGTCTAAAGGCAGTACAGTGTATTTACATGTACTAAAAAATATATTTAAAAAAAAATCCGCCCGCCCGCCCGTAAAAAAAATGTCCATGTTAGTCGAACCACACACCTTCTTTAGTTTGGCATGGCCCTACTTAAGTTACTTTGTCGGCAAGGTCGCGTGAATCTAGCTTTGAATGCGGTCATGCTACTTGTCTCATGTGGGCACGTGTGAGTGTGCGCGTGTGTTTATCACCAAGACCGCTAGATTTAGTTTCTCATTCATTTTGTACACGCATTGTGCCAGAACTGCCCCTGCGTTGCTCCCAGGTCGTACAGATAATCGACTTCTGGCCTGCACGGTTTACCTAACCTTTGCGCTGAGGTTTCCCCTCGCCACGCTCCCTCCTTTTCGTTTAGGAGCCATCATGTCAGCGGACTGATGATCGTGACGTGAAACTCGGAGTGGCATGCACCACCCTATCCTCTCTCCTTATCTCTATTGTGTGTATAGACTTGTGCATACTATAATAGTACTTCGAAGTACTTCAAGTAGATTGACGCGCATGGACAGCCAATGATTAGTGTATGGGAAAGAAAAGGACCAAGGAACGACAAGTTACGCTACAATTTCCACACATGCCACCAGTTACTTGGAGCTCATGCGATAACATAGTCATTACACGACACTGACCGACGGCACTGACGTTCTACAACTAACTGTCAATCAGCTCTAGCACGTCTTGGATGCGCACTCCAACAGCCTTCCACCTTGGAAAGTTCGAAGTTTTAGTAAATACAGTCATGTAGGAGGGGAAGGTGTACGAAACCAAGATAAGAACAAGCTGAAAGTCTCAGTTGCGAAGGACGTAACGTCGTTGGCGGATGTACATGTACATGTATGTTGAATTGTTGATGGCGATATTGGCAAGACTACTGGAAAATACGGCCAAACCATGGAGGGGAAGCTATTCGAACATGAATCATGCCAAACCGAACGCTTCGACTGTAACAATTTAGATGGACCAATAAGCAGCAGTAACAAGAGAGAGAGGAAAAAGCAGTACTGTAACAAGAAGCAGTTTCATACGACAATTTTTCCGCTGTATGGGTATTGACGGCTCATCATGTGTGCATAACTGGAGCATTGATAGTGTGCATAGATTACTAGTAGATCTACTCGTTTGCCCAGCAAGGACCCAGGTACTTACGAGTACAACTACATTGTAGTACAGTCGTCCCTCTCTAATCCGGCACTTTATAATCCAGCACCCTCGATAAACCAGCACAATTTTCAGTAGCCAAAATGTCCTCTTCATGTACATTGCAGCAGTAAATCAGATTTGTTAATCCAGCACCCTCCCTAATCCAGCAGATTTTCGTGGCACAAATGGTGCCGGATTATAGAGGGACCACTGTACAATGTACTTTATAACGTTATTGAGAGGTGGCATGCAAATGAGCAAGGTGCCAGTGCCGTGGCAGGCAGCTACATGTAGACTCTACATCATGCTAGATCTACATGTACATGTATGTGCGCATCCTATTCCTAGTGATCATGACCCGCCCCAGCGGATAATGCCAACAGAAAAGTTGGTAGAATTAAATATTATTTGGTACGTTTTCTGGTGCGTTTCATGCATGTTTGGTACGGGGATAAAGACAAATGGAGCAGAATTCAAGGAAGTGCCTGCCATATTTAAAAGGTTTGTATGATTCTGCCAATTTCACTGCTTTTCGAGCATAATCTGCCAATTTTTTGATGCAGTGGACTGGCATGGCTGTGTCTATGTCAGTTTGGAGTAGACCAAGTACTCGTCATCCTGGATCAATTAACATGTATGCAAATACCTCCTCTCTACTGGGAACGTACTTGTATTAAGTTGTAATGATTATAATTACCAGAACAATGTAGATCTACGCTCAACAATAGTATAGTGATTAGTGAGACCATGATAATTATAGTAGTTGATCGCGACCAACGTAACTCGTTGCTAGTTTGGAGTACCGCCAAAGTCGCCACACGACAATCGTGTACCTGTATTATTCCTGCGGAACTACCGTACTTACTAACTGAATACCTTTACTTCGCACATTTACGAAATAGATCTACACGATCCGACCAACTAAACAGCAGTAAGAGTTGAGGTTCGACACTCATACTTACTAAGTCATAGATTATTCTTGCCAGTCATTGGCCATTGATCACTGCCAACAGGCGCCACAACTTCACAAGAGAACGGACAGCACGTAGAACTCCTGGCAGTGATACAGTGCACTAGTGATAGCGTGATAGCTTGCTGGTCCAGTGCCTGTGCGTAACGCGTAATGAAGGACACTGCAAACCAACACGTCTACCAAGCCATGGACCATGGTCGAAGTCTGTCAAGGACGTCGGTCATGTCCGTTGCCAGTGTTGGCAGTATAGTAAGTAATAGTTAGTAGGCCCTGGGTCTACGAGAGAGAGAGGAGGAGAGTGCATACTAATCGTGCTCAGGCCGCCTGGTTTTACGTGACGTCGAATACGGAATAGCTAGAGGGACCGTACCGGGCGCGGGGTAACACAACGGTATGATTTTCGTCCCCGCAGGGGTGCGGGCAGCGGGTTTTCACACACCACCCGCGTGCCTGTGTACACGCTGTCGCATATTAGGTGTATTCATTTGGCCAATGAGCTACAGTTTTCAAGTGTGACATTTGAAAGTCAGCCGGCTAGCCATTCGCAAACGCTGCTAAACTCAGTCTTGTAGTTCAAGGCTCGACATCGGTGAGTAGTGGGGAATGCTGGAGTGTTACGTAGTCGTTCCTCATCAGCCAGAGGTAAACTCACCACCACAGACGCAAGTCTAGGCACAGAGGCGAAGCAGTTGACTTCACTTGGTGTTGTGCTCTGTATGCAGTTAGTTGTTAGCCATTACGCTCCCCGCAGTGTTTCTGAAATAGGAAATCGTCGAGTTGGACACCTTTCGCTGGAGAAGGGGCTTCATTCTCTCAGTACTATCCGTATTACCGGTGCCTTGTGATGGTTGGTTGTCAGTTGTAACAGCGGAGTAGCCTTTTATCTTGCCGCTAGTTAGTATCGACAGTGTGTTTCTCGCGTGCGCATTGCCGCAGGGCAAGGAAGAGGTAGCGCATAGCAGTTTCGTTCGAGAAAACTCAATTCGTCGTTCCCTACGCCGCCCGCTGAGAAGGCAATAGATAGATTGCATCCACCTCGGCACTGGGTAGTTGTTCACTTTGGAGCTAAGCGTTGAAGGATTGAAAATGACTTTCGTCGAATGCACCGTTTTCTCAGCGGTGTTTCTTCTATCCGTTCACCGGCTATCCGCTCAGAAACATCTGGCGGCAACCACTCTACTTGATCCCGACCTCAGGTAAAGAAATCTACCATCTGTGTATGTTTTGGGTGCGACTTGAGTTCGGACTACATGTACTATCCCCAGCTACTACCATACCAAGCTTCCCTCAAACCCTCTCCGCCCGTCACCCACACACACCTCTTTCGCTTTGGCTTTTGATGATAGCATTATCATCTTTGTTGTCAAATGGTTTGTTCGAACATGTGTGCTGGTGAATTATTCGGTAGAAAATGGGTGCATTGTTGAGACAAGGGTCTTTCTGGTTCTGGAACGTGGTGCTCTTCCACCCTCAATCTGTGCAGATTGCCTTATCACATTGCAACAGCAATGAGCAGTGCCGAGTTGGAACCTATTCGCAAAGGTAACTGCAAGCGTCTCTATGGTCTGAGCACGAGCCAGGTGGACTGGTGCAAGAAGAACTCAGTTTTCTTCCGCCCGATCGTGATCGGCACCCGACTTGGCCTGAACGAATGCAAGCGACGCTTCGCCAGGCGACGCTGGAGCTGCCCAGTCGACCAGCCAAACATCTTCAGCAAAGTCCTGAATACGGGTGAGTGAAGCTGTGTGTGGTCTGCTGCGTCGGTCAAGTCTGCTTTGTGGTTCGGGTCTTGTGTAGTGAATGCAGCGGTCACAAGAAGGATAGTGTTACATCATGTTTGTTGATGCCTAACTAATTTAATTACACGGTAGCAAGCGTTCGCGTGTCGACGGAGAGTTCGTTGCCTGCAGGAACAATAATTGGTTTCATGTAACTGGACTGTGAATGAAAAGGTATTGAAAACGCTATTGTGTTCCTTATGCTGGAGTTTTCTTGATTGCACCGGTCTGATGAGGGCCTACATGACGAGCTACATGTAATTCCTGCACACAGGATGTGCCCATACTACACAACCTATATTCAGAAAGAGAATATTAGGTGGCAGCATGCCCAAGGAGAATAGCTGCACTGAGAGGATAGTAAAAACCCTGCCCATATCATCATAAAAGGAATTTTGGGGTTTTCAGTGTGCCTAGACAAGTATTGCTTGTTTCGATCAGTTGAGAGGAAGTGCAGACCATTCCAGTTTACTGTAATTTCACAAATTTTCGGTGCAATTTATTTTTCGGTGCATCTGTTTCATACCTAAAATTCAACACACCGAACAAAGACTAACACGCATAATCCAATAGGGAACTGCTTCTCTGTACCTAAAATTTCTGTTCACCTAACCTGGCCTTTTGCCCTCATACCGAAAATATTGAGCACCAAAAATTTCTGAAATTTGAGTACCTGAGAGTCCATTTCACATCTAACAAAACATTAATGTGTACATTGGAGGTTGTTTATCAATAGAGACGTTTTCGGTGGGCATACTACTTGCCTCTTAGACCTCATCTGTTCCCGGGCAGAGGCATGCCGTGCCGCTCACAATGTTATAATATTGAGTTTTCACTGTTACGCCCCGAGATAGGCTACAATTGTTATGCAAAACTCCAGCATAACTGGTGACATGCACGGATGGGATGGGATACCGTGCAATCACAGGCTCATCAGAAACTGTACAATGCAACGCCATCACCATCAGCATTGTCTGTGTACACAGAAACGGTGTTTTAGAGTTTTTGTTTGGAATAGAGATGCCGAGTGTTACTTCTTCCGCAACACGATGGGAGATCATGTTTCAGGGTGTAGCTCATGCTGTGGAGCTTGTGTAGCGGCCACTTGAACAGGAGAGGGAGCACTTGCAGACTTCACAGTCTTGCTAGCTGTGTTGTCATGTGTGTGTGTGTGTGAGAGAGAGAGAGAGAGAGAGTGTGTGTGTGTGTGTGTGTCGGCATCTCTTCACGAGCTGCTCCCGCTTAGCAAATCATCGGGCGTTCGATGTAACATGGCAAGCAATCACTCTACTGTAGACATACTTTGTAATAGTAATACGGCGGACCTCAGTTCAACGGTGTTCGGCCCTTTTGTCAAAAGGAAATGGGCCTGTACCATGCTGCAGGATAGGGTTTCATGACACCGAAAGACTTTGACAGGGCGGGTGGAGAGTAAATCACTCTTTTGCCTATGGGTTTTGATAGAAACATAATGGCTCTGCACATGTTGCGATGCCATCCTACATTCCAGCTGTGCTAGAGCGATGAGCTGGGAGCCAAACGTAATCAACTGGCGCCACATGCCGTCCTAGTGCTAATCACATGTAGGCAGGTAATAATACCTGTAGGATGTTGGCTGTTTGGGGGGATAAGGCGAGAGCGTGTCATGCACTAGTAAAGGTTTGCATTCTTCTACACACTGCGTAGTGCATGCAGTTCATGCATTACACTGTGTGTTACCAGTCACTCTAGCCAGCTACCACTTACCGCATTAGTAGTAATTTGGTAGATCTACCAGAGCTGCTACATGTACATGTATGTGCTTGAATACTTGAATACATGTATACATGTACTTTCAGAATCACTGGGTTTGGTCATTGGCAGTCCATTAGTTACACAGTCACTGATGTTCCAATGCTTGTAAGAGACATCATGTGGTCTTTCCCACTGGAGTGGGTGTGCATGCCCAGGCAGTTATCTCCCGCTGTATTCTGATGTGTGCACTCATCTAGATTAGGTATTGCATTGCTCGTGTCACCGATGTACCGATTACGAAGACCAATGGTGCATTAGGCGTCATTGGATTCGCCAGTGGCTTCTGTGGTAACACATTACGTGTGCTTATGTCGAGGAAGTGTAAGCACAGTAATATGGTGATCTCCTAGAGCTTGCCAATACAGGTGCCATTGTCATACCACTAGTCAGTGGTTGTCAGTTGATCGCATAGCGCGGGGTGGTATTGGTCTCGCGACAGACATGTTTCGTGAGACCATCTCACCGCAGCAGTATCTTCACGCCTGCGTCTAGCGGTCAACTCCTCTCTATGCACCTCATCAACACCGTGTCCTTGGCTAACTTACTGTGATGTGTCTGTCATGTGTCATGATCCAAGTCACAGTGTTCACCGATTGTATCTGGAAAAGAACTCGCGTAACAAAAAACTGAAATGCTTTTTCTAGGGGCCTTGTACTATTCATGTATCATCGACATGAGAGCAAGGACGGTGTATGGCGCAGAAGAGCCAGTAGCCATGGTTATGCTTGAAGTACGAGAGAAGGGTTCTCTCTGATGGTAGTCTGGACAATGGCCCGGAGTATGGCAAAGAGCAGAGGGTTTGTTGTACAATGTACGGTATAACTAAGTATGATTCTCCTCTCGGCAGGAGTATTTCTCACAACGGATTTGGCACATTCCATAATTGGCAGGAACACTCCAGGAAGGCTGTTTTCAACAAAGTCGTGTCCTACAGCGGCTCATCAAGGACGATGGCTTGTTTTGCACATTGCATTCCTGTAGAAAGGTGCGAGTGGAGTGTGTCAGTGTGTTAGTGTGTCTTCTGTCAGACCACCTCCAGGGCAGAAAGACCTTTCGTAATTGCCCTGTTTGCCCTTGCGTGGAAGTTCTGGGCTGGAGCAGCAGAGCTCTATAGTGATGGCAGCCACACAACACTACAGTCCCGCAGAGTGATGGCTGGCCTGGTGCAAAGAACAGCTCTTTTTGAAGAAAACACAATGATAATTTCAAGGCCTGGCTTTCTCAAGTAGAGGTCAAATCAAGTTAACTGGAGACCAAGGCAAAACTGCCTGTGCATGTACAAAGCACATGATGACTGTTTCTATTGTAACTCAGTTAGTCAGGAACCAGGTACATTCTGAAGATCAGCATGATTCCACCAGCCACGGTACTTTATAGACTTCGCCATACATTTTTGGAGGATATACATGTACTGCTTGAACACTAAATGGCTTATCCGAGACTGCAAGAGATTCTCCAGTCAGTATTTTCCTTTCTGAATGAGCATGAACCTTTGGAATGTAGAGGAGCATTGTGAGATGGTTGAACCGCTTGGCAATCACCTCTTGCCCGTGACAACTGGTGATTTTCACAAGTTCACAGCTTGGGTTACTCCTCAGTGCTGCTCAGGGAGTATTGTACAGGATCTTCAAGTGTTAAAAATTATTTTGAGTACACATGTTATACATGTACATGTATGGCGTTGGCATAATGATCCACCGCTCCGGGTGGGCATGGTGCTCTGGCAAACAGAATGGTGTGAGCAATGTCACAGTCATATGGCATACACAATGGGAAAGCATATTCACAATTATTTGTGACAGAACGTCATGCTGTGCTATTCAATGCATGCAACTTACATTCTTCAATGAATTAATTACTAACTTGGAAGTTATACAGTACACCTGAAGTACCAAGTCGTCCATGCCACTACAGGATTGGGTGTTGAAAGATGACCGGTACAACATACCATGTAGCTCTGTTGTTTAGCACTGTGCTGCAAAACCACTCCAATAGTTGTATTTTTGTGCTGGATCTCCTCATCAGGGACGCACTTGGAAGCTTGGCTGCCTGTTAGCAATGGCCTATGAGTGGTTCTGTCAGTTTTCAAGTGGCTGTAGGACTCCAGTGGCACTCTCCTCTAGCTTGTTGGATCATGAAAGCTGGCCGCCTGTAGTGCACTTGTGTAGTCTTGTCCCCTGCACGTTCTGTGCTGGTGGTGTGGCTAATACGCTGGAGAACATGCGGGTCTACTAGTACTAGAGTGCATGTCTCCTAACCATCCTTGACAGTGTGTGAAGTCTGAGAGAGAGCGAGTGATGGGAAAAGTGCAGACACAGATGCCATCATAGACTCAGTACCGTAGAGGCAGTCAACTTCTCATTACTACATGTAGTATCTACACTAGGCTACAGCATCATGTTAATGTTAGGTACATGTACATGAATGCAGGCATGCAGACAGTCGCAGTCTTTAGGAGTTAGGCTACTAGGGCCTCATACTTAGCCAAGCTATGCACAACACCAGGGACATACCACTGCTCTTCAGGAAATGGAAATGTTCAAGGCAAGAAATTATGTTAATCGACAATCACTGGCACTCCAGTTATGTTTTGACTGGGAATTGGCCGCCAAGCCGGTTTGCGTGTCCCATACTCCTGTACAGATGTCTTGCATGTCTGTCATGATGCATACTAGTATTCAGATGTGACCAGTTACTAATAGCAGATGGCAGTGTTTCGTAACAAGATTAGCAGAATTGTCCTTGTGCATATGATAGTACTGTAATCATGCACCATTTCAATGCTGAATTGGTTAATTAGATTGTGCAGCTGAACAATGGGTAGCGTGGAGATCTGTGACAGGATACTCATTGCTTTAGCATAAAGTAGCATTGGGAGAGGTGTGTGTGTGTGTGTGTGTGTGTGTGTGTGTGTGCGTGTGCGTGCGTGTGTGCGTGTGTGTGTGTGCATGCTGTGTGCGTATGTGCATGCATGTGTGTGTGTTTGTGCACGCATGTGTGTGTGTGTGTGTTTGTGCACGTGCATGTGCGCGTGCGAGCGTGCGTGCATGCATACATGCACACGTGTATAAATGGTACATGGTGCATGCATGTGTGCATAATCATCTGATGGTGTTCGGTTTAGTTTATGAACTTTCCCAGTTTCTTAATTTCATACCATATTTGCTGGCGTATAGTGCGCACCCTGAGCAGTGAATTTTCAAGCTCAAATCTGCAGTGCGCACTATACACCGAATACGAGAATCTAGTTCAAAAGTGCCACAGTTCAAGTGCGCACTATACACGTAATGCACTGTATCGTACGGAGCGAGTGCCCAGGTTCATCGACGTTTGAGAACATCCACGGAAAATCAATGTTGTTTTCATGTTCACAGTTCGTAATTCCATGAATTTCATAGTCATAGTCTGACTTACTGGGAAATATTCTTAAGTTTCACCATCCTTTGACGAGATCAATTTCAGAACCAAATATCCCCGATTTGACTGCGCGTTATACACCGAATAGAGCCATTTTGTGTGAATTTGTGGTTGAAGATTTGGGGGTGCACGTTATACAAAGGTGCGCGTTATACTCCGGCAAATACGGTACATGAAACACCCCCCTCCCCACAATGTACAATACCAATTTATGGTCGCATCTACATGTATCACGTTTGAGAGAAATGTTGTACCTCGAATTGCGTACCATTGCTGCCGGTTGCATCATTATGGTTGCTTCACATGAGCAGCATTCATTGTCGGCTTGACCATGTTTTTCTTCCTCACAGCGACTCCTGAAGCGGCATTCGTCCACGGTATAGAGTCAGCCGGCATCACTCTGGCCATAGCACGGACATGCAGTCGAGGCGATGCACTGTCCCATTGTGCATGTAACAAGTCACAACAAGCTGTCGGGCAGAACTGGACGTGGGGATCGTGCAGTGACGACTTCCAGAGTGGCGACAAGTTTGCTGGTGAATTCCTGTCGGGAATGGTCAAAGCCAACGATTCCACATCAACTATTGCCGGCCTCAATCATAGATTTGGACGAAAAGTGAGTGAATGTCCAGATGACGTTTTTGTTGCATGAGGCACTAAACAATGATTTGGTAGATACAGAATATTTACAAAATGAACTAAATTGGCAAGGTTACACTAGCACACTGTATTATTTTTTTAAAGTGGTCTCTCCCCCCCCCCCCCCCCCCACACTCCACCTTTCCTAATCTTCCCTAACATAATTATGTATCTCACCTTTTGAGTAATTGAGGGGGGGGGGGGGGGGAGGAGGTACTTCACTTCCTTTAGTTTAGTGGTGTGTCTATGGGGTGGGATTCACTGGCTAGAAAACCAGTTCAAAACGCTATGTGGTGTAGACCAGGATGAAAAGTGACGGTCAATTCCTCAGCCTTGCAAGCTGTTGAATGGCGCAATCTGAAAACAAGTTGTTATGGCTTCTGCTGCAGCAATGCTGCATGGCAATGGGGGTGAAAGGTCAAGAGTGTGCATGGTTGTGTGCGTGTGTGTGTGTGCGTGTGTGTGTGTGTGTGTAGAATATGATGTTGATATCCGCAGTACGCTTTGTTTGTGCCATCTTGTTAGGTTGTTGGCAAGAGTATGCAGTTCCTGTGCAAGTGCCATGGCTTTTCCGGTTCCTGTGTACAAAAGACATGCTGGTAAGAACTGACAATGTCATGAACTGCAAATGAAAACCTTAGGCTGCATTCACGCTGGCTTATTCGTATTCCTTCACCTGCCTGGGCAAGATCTCACGCACATGCTGTTGTTGCTGCACTACCCACCCTTCCCGACCTCAGTTGGGGGGGGGGGGGGGTGATAGGCAATGAGGGAGAAGAGATGAGTGCCGCCTTCCCTATGTCATGGGTATTATGCAACATGGGGCTATTGGTAAAATATCGATGTTTCTTTCAAGACTGTGTTTTCCATTACTCTTCAGATGCCTACCTCACACTCAGAATTAACAGGCACACATTTATGAAGTGGATCAGTGCTTTTTTTTTGATGACATTATCTTTTTGAGAGGCAACCAACAGCAACTCCACGCTTACGGTAAACCTAGGTTTACCGGCACTGCTGGAGTGCCTCAACCTTGCCAGGGCTATATCTGGAAGGTTGCGTTTAACTTTTCACCACTGTACATGTAGGTCATCAGCTAAGAGAATACTTGCTCAGTGCCCCCCCCCCCCTCCCTTCTTCCCATGTCTAGAGATTTCACTAAGAAGAGATGCACAGTGCTCAAACTCTCCCAAACAAACTAATACTCATATAGTTCTAAAGAAAACTGTATCTACGAATATCCACTGAGCAATGTCGTTTCTCCGTCCGCCTACTTGAAGTGAGACGTTCATGCACCGGATACATCTGCTATCATTCTTGGCCAATAGAATTCTGCGTGGGTCCCTTATTGTTCATATTCATTCACTCATTGAATGCTGTTGTGTGTACCACCGGTATGTGCTCTCTCAGGTATAGTCTGCCGACCATCGGAGTTGTTGCTGAGCAGTTACTGCGAAAATACGACAAGATCTTTCGGGTTGTGTGGAATAGCACGGAGATGGAGGTGGCTCCTTTCGCCAGCGATCCTCTCAAGCAGTCTCTCAAGCAGTCTCGTATGACCGAGAAGCTGGTCTATCAGCAGCCGTCCCCCGATTACTGTGAACCGAACAAGGCCATCGGGTCGCTGGGAACGCATGGACGCGAGTGCGAGCCTCGCATAGCAGGCCCGACCAGCTGCGATACCGTCTGCTGTCAGCGAGGCTACAACGAGCGGCGTCGGATTGCGTCGCAGAGATGTCGCTGCAGATTCCACTGGTGCTGTCGAGTGGAGTGCGATTGGTGTCGTGTGGTCTCAAAAAAATACACCTGCTGGTGAGGAAAACAATGGACGAAGTTGAACACACATTTTGCCTGTAAAGTTGAATTATACCGGGCCCCTCAATATGGTGATATTGTGCCGCACGGTGATCCAGAATCCATCATCAAAACAACACTTATAGGATTGTCACAAGCCGCTCACTCTCTGACAGTTGAGATGTCAACAAACCCAGCATGCAGTTGATTAGGTCATGGCAAGAGTTGTAGCAGAATATCAGTGCATTTAAAACCAGCTGCCCCTTCCCCTACATGCACCGGCTTGTGTGAGGATTTTTCTTCCACTGAATTCTCATTATTTTGTCCTTTTAACTCCGGATTTGTACACCGTTAATGTTGCAATTTCCCATAACTTATGCACTAAAATAGATTGATTTTCAGTATTTTGTACAATAGGCCTCGTTGAAGCCGACCAAATTTGCAAATTTATACTCTAAATAATGAACTTTCTCTCGTCGTCTACATTTCAATTGAGATCGATGCATTCTCCACGATAATTTAACATAACTAGCCTGCATATCGGGTCATCACCCTTGCATTAAGTTTGAGCTAATACATGTAGTTTCTATGCAGGATTATCGTGATTTCTGTCGCTCCTGCCCATACACATGCTTATCATGTATAGTGTATACCCATGACATAATACACATTACACTGATGATTCATGGAAACCAACTTGAGCCGGTTCATTTTTTAACTCTTCTGCAAGACATTGCCATTCCTTTTCGACTATGATGGATACGGATTGAGGATGGCCGCTGCATGATGTGCAGAACACGTACAAGTGACAACGTGGAAGGCACTGCTGAGCTGTTTTCAACGTTGGCCTAAAGAAAGAAAAAAGCATTGGTAATCCTGAATGAGTGTGAACTACTCATGTACGAGCATATCAAGTCTCTTCAAGTATGTAGGCTTCTCTGTAGTTATGTATCATCAAGAAGATTTGCGTAGAGTCACCTATCCTCCCAAGCAACAGGGCATTGGTGAATGGTCTGTATGTTCGAGGCCGGCCCGGGGTGTATATCATACAGCTTGAAACCGTGTGTGGAATGCTGCCAATATTATTCAATTCAATTATTTGAAACTCGGGTATTGAGCCAATAATAAAAGTAGAAAGGAAAAGACTGTATATAGTATCTAGTTACGGTGGTGGAGAGTTACTATTATCTCCTTTCCATATGTCCTTTTTCTTTCTACTTTTAATTCAATTATTGTTTCATAAAGAAAATCATGTGAGCCCCTTTTGTAGAAGCCCTGACTTACACCCAGGGGAGTCGTCGTGAAAGCCCGGGATTTCACGACTCCCTGCTTTATACAAGTAAACAGTTGAAGTCACAACTGTGAGACACCTGCAGCTAGCTATTTACTTGAAAGTATAATTATCCGATGATGACCCCTGGCACCTGCAGTGTGTGCACATTCATAAATTTTGTCGTCTGTGCGTAACAGAGACTCCCTCGATTTAGGCTAAGGCCTGTGGAGAATCCATAAATACAAATACAAAAATACAAAACAGTACAATAGAGGGGTTAAGATGCACATCATTTCTGACGTGATGTGAAAGTTCAACTCGCGTTATTTGGCTTGCGCGTCGAAAAACAACGTGAGTGACCTGCAGCTCACGTCGAAATTTGGAGTTTTACGCCAAATTTGACGTGACATTGCGCGTCACGTCGGAAATAACGTGCATCTTAACCTCTCTATTATGTACCCATAACACCAGATGCTGGGTACTTGAAGAAGCTAGGGAGGGAGATGAGCATGAGCACTGATTCCATGGACTCAAAACTACAAAACTATTATTAGTGATCAGTCACTGAGTGGACTAGCACTGGTAAAACCTGTCAAGGCGACCACTCCAATAAGGCGACCCTAAAAGACCACTGAAACCAGGACCAAGTGATGCTATTTCCAGTCAAATGACCCTGGATAAGGAGACCACCTGGTAGCAGAGACCACATTTTGAAGGTCTCTTCCGCTTGAGCGGTCGTCTTACTCTTAGACAGCCTCACTGTAGCATGATAATAGATTGTACAATGACTGTAAGTACCCACGCCTAGTCAAGCCTGTCCCAGGATCCCGGGTACCTTTTTGACCCCGTGATTGGCGCTGCAACTACAATACTAACTGCATGCATGCACTTGCAGCTTGAACTGCACGGCCCCGGGTAGACATAAACTGGCAAAGGCATAGCCTGGACGTACTACACTGATCATGACATGGCCGCCCGTACCCGTGCCCGGCGACCGTGTCTGATATTTTTGCGTATAAATTATAATATTCACGATAACTATCACATCCACTCAAGCAACGCTTGAAATAGTCTGTCGGAGAAAGAAGACTTGCCTTGTTCCGTTGTCGGCCAGCGTCTACAGTTGCAGCAATGGTAAGTAACTAATCATAACCGACTGTAGAATCCTTCAAACGATGCTCATCGCCAACGTTCTCCTTTGCTTCGGTTATTTGTTGCTCTCCGCTGCACAGATACAATTCGTATTTCTGTTCAGCAGGCAGGGTAAGAGTCGCCTGCAGAAATGGTACAATGCTGTGCTGCCCAAGGATAAGAAGAAGATCGTGCGTGAGCTGACCTCCCTGGTGCTGGCACGCAAAACGAAGATGTGCCATTTCCTGGAGTTCAAGGACATGAAAGTCGTCTACAAAAGGTAGGCGAAAACGGCCATAGCTGCTAAAGA